ATTAACCCCATAAAAACCAATGGCAATAAACAACACCACCAACAATAACACCACCACCACCAACAATAACAACAACAACAACCACCACCACAGCCACCACACCACCAACAACAACAACACCACCAACCACCACACCACCAACAATAACAACACCACCACCACCAACAATAACAACACCACCAACAATAACACCACCACCAACACCACCACCAACAATAACAACACCACCAACCACCAACACAACAACAACACCACCACCACCAACAATAACAACACCACCACCACAACAACAACAACACCACCACCACCACCAACAACAACAACACCACCACCAACCAACACAACAACACCACACCACCAACAATAACAACACCACCACCACCAACAATAACAACACCACCACCACCAACAACAATAACAACACCACCACCACCAACACAACAACACCACCACCACCAATACAACAACACCACCACCCACCCACCAACACAACAACACCAACACCACCAACACAACAACACCACCACCACCACACAACAACACCCCAACAACAACAACAACCACCACCAATAACAACACCACCACCACCAACAAACAACACCAACACCACCACCAGCAATAACAACACCACCACACAACAACACCACCACCACCAACAATAACAACACCACCACCACCAACAATAACACCACCACCAACAATAACAACACCACCACCACCACCAATACAACAATCAACACCACCACCAACAATAATAACACCAACTACCAACAACAACAACACCAACCAATCAACAATAACACCCAACAATAACAACACCACCACCAACAATCAACAACACCACCACCACCAAATACGCCACCACTACCACCAACACAACACCACCACCAAATGAAACACCAACGACCACCAACAATAACAACACCACCACCACCAATAATAACAATACCACCACCACCAACAATAAAAACACCACCACCAAGCCAATAACAATAAACAACACAACACCACCAACACAATAACACCACCACCACCAACAATAACACCACCACCACCAACAACAATAACAACACCACCACCACCAACAATAACAACACCACCAACACCACCACAATAACACCACCACCAACAACAACACACCACCACCACCAACAATAACAACACCACCACCACCACCAATAACAACACCACCACCACCAACAATAACAACACCACCACCACCAACAATAACAACACCAGCACCACCAACAATAACAACACCACCACCACCAACAACACAACAACCACCAACACAACACATAACAACACCACCAACAATAACAACAACACCACCACCACCAATAACAACACCACCACCACCAACAATAACACACCACCACCACCAACAATAACAACACCACCACCAACAATAGCACACCACCACCAACAACAACAACGCCTCGAATAACAACAACGCCAATAACAACACCAATAACAACACCATAACCACCAATAACCACACATAGGAAAACTGCCAGGTGAGAAACCCCAAACAGTATATACATTTCAACACCTGGGGGGGGGAGGAGGCTAAGTTTCTCCAGGTAATGACACAACACTTCTCCATGCCAAGTTTTCACAATGGTTAAGTTTGGTATATAGGTTTGCTAGGTTAGGTTATGTATATCAATAAGAACCATAAAAAACACAGCCAGACAGAGCGCAGTCAGGATATAATCAGTCAGAATAAAGCCAGTCAGATTACAGTCAGGACACAGCCAGTCAGGACACAACCAGTCAGGACACAGCCAGAAAGACACACACAATACAGTAAAGATAAATCAACAGACAGACAGACAATCACATAAACGAAATCATAAGAATGTGTTAAGGAAAAGAATGTGGGAAGAATGACAGTGGCCAGACGGGAACACACCTGAGGACGAGTTGTGTCATAAACTAGTTGATCTGTGGTATGTTACCTGACAACATTAATATGGCGAGCAACTCAACATTTACCTGTCTACACTCGGGAGGGAGGGAGGGAGGGAGGGGAGGAGGGAGAGGAGGGAGGGAGGGAGGAGGGAGGGAGGAGGAGAGGAGGGGAGGGAGGAGAGGAGAGGAGAGGAGAGGAGATGGAGAGGAGGAGATGGAGGGAGGGAGGAGGGAGGAGGAGGGAGAGAGAGGAGATGGAGAGGGAAGAAGGGACGGGAGAGTGAAGCTAACATTTTATGAAGAGGTAGGAGGGAGATTGTGTGGTGAAGATGTGCAGTAATAAGGAGAGGGGAGTAGGGGGAGAGAGGGAGAGGGGGAGTAGGGGGAGAGAGGGAGGGGGGGAGACAGGCAGGGTCTTACTGTCACGGCCAACGTGTTTCTTTGACGCTGTGCAGGGGAGGAGGAGGGAGGGTGAATGAGGGGTAGGGGAAGGAGGAGGAGGAGGTGGGGGGCAGGAATGTGAGGAGGAGACCGAGAGGGAGGAACGGGAGCATGGGGAGAAGAGGGGGGGGAAGAGAGGGACAGGGAGGAGTCACTGGGAGATGAGGGAAGTGTAGGAGGAAGATTTGGGGAGGAGGGGGAGAGTGGGGGTCCGAGGGGGCGAGTGAGAGAAGGGGTGAAGGATGAGGAGGAAATGTGATAGTGAGGGTATGGGAGGGGGTAGGAGGAGAGTGAGGGGGGTAGGGAAGAGTGTGTGGGGGTAGGAGGAAAGTGGGGGTAGGGGGAGAGGAGGGGGTAGGGAAGAGTGTGGGGGTAGGAGGAGGTGTGGAGGTAGGAGGAAAGTGGGGGGTAGGGGAGAGGAGGGGTAGGGAAGAGTGGGGGGTAGGAGGAAAGTGGGGGGGTAGGGGAGAGAGAGGGGAGGAAACAGGACAAAAAATGGCGGCAGAATCATACAGAGACTCAACCTTCCGTGGATGCATTCGTGGTTTCTAAATCCTGAGTCGAAGTTAATCAGTCGGAACTCAAACCGATTCGCACCCGATCAGACGTAAATGGATCTAATCACGCCGAGTCGAGGTATTTTGGCCGTCACGAGATCCCGATGGTGGTCCGGGGAGACGCTTTATTATGGGATCGTTTCGGTATAAATAACTCCCATTGCAGTAAGAAATAACGTCGGATTCAGCTCATTTTCTCACTATTTTCTTTCCAATTAGAGAGAGAGAGAGAGAGATGCGTTCTCCCATCACCTGTGGCGGAGGAAAAAAACACTACACAAGATTCTTTGAGAAGGTGAATCTTTTGCGGTGGACAAGTGACCTTTGTGACGTACTGTACCAACACACACACACACACACAACAACAACAATATGCGGGTCACTCATCATCTTCCCACACTATAAATTCCCCCCCCCTCCCCAATGGTCTATTGTGTGTGACCTGCCTCTACCCCTCCAACACCACTTTCCACCCTCCACCTCTACTCCCTCTCTCTCTCTGGTTTCCCCTCCTCCCTCCCCACACATTACCCTCCCTCTCTTTCCCTACCTCCCCATTACTCATTCATCCACTCTTTTCTTTCCCCCCTCTCTCTCACCCCTACCTGCCCCTCCCTTCCTCATCAATTCCCCCCCTCTCTCGCCCTCTCTCTCTCCCTCCCTCTCTCTCTCTCTCCCTCTCACAATGTACAGGCTAGTTTGTACATCGTCACCAGTAGTATAACACATTCTCACCCTCTCTTTCAAAGCATGTATTGTATGTATGTATGTATGTATGTATGTATGTATGTATGTATTCTCCTCTCTCTCTCTCTCTCTCCTCCGACACTACTGGGCGATAAGATTGAAACACCAAAAATTAATAACAGAGGCAAGAGGAAGAGGAAAGGATGAAGGTACGAAGAGAAAGAAAAATGAGGAGAAAGAGGAAGAGGGGAAGAGGGAAATGAGAATGGAGGAGGGAGAAAGGATGGGGAGAAGGAGGAGGGACATGAGGTAAGAGAAGAGGGACAACATGAGGAGGAAGGAGGTCGGTTCACCCCCCCAGACAATAACAGCTGCAAACACTGACTGACAGAGTGAACGTCCACGAAAGTTACGAGTGACTGGGTAAATGTCTGTCTGTCTGTCTGTCTGTCTGTCTCCTGCCCTTTTACATGCAAATGAGTGGGTGGGTGGGTGGGTGGGTGGGTGGGGTGGGTGGCACGGTGGGGTCAACAATACTGGTAGGTAGGTTGGTGGGTGGGTGGGTGGTCAACAACACTGGTTGGTGGGTGGGTGGGTGGGCAGCAGCATCGATTCGGGGCTTGAGGCCAGAGCCATAACTCTTCAACAAAGGGTATGTTGCTCACCTTTAATACTACCACTATCTACCAGACTACTACCACTATCTACTACACTAATACCACCATCTACCACACTACTACTACCACTATCTACCAGACTACTACCACTATCTACCAGACTACTACCACCATCTACTACACTACTACCACTATCTACCAGACTACTACCACTATCTACTACACTACTACCACTACATTCACCAGACTACTACCACTATCTACTACACTAAAACCACCCTCTACCACACTACTACTACCACTATCTACCAGACTACTTTTTTCTACTATGGCCTCCAGCCTCCCTCAATAGCCATACCTTCGCCACCATTTTATTACCTCAATATTAAATATCCTAAAACACAAGTAGCTCTCCTAGCTGTGTCGAGTTAGTTGAGCCGCAGATCTGTGAGGTATTCAGTGACTGTAGCCTCATAGTCAATAACTGCAACTGTTGTAGGCTTTGGGGCCGATGCTCTCGTTCCCCTGAGGCAGAGCAAAGCCGACCGAAGGAGAGAGAAGGACAGTCGACATCTCATCCAGGCTACTACCACTATCTACCACACTTCTAGCATCACCACCACCAGCCACAAACAAGCAATTACCACCACTACCACAGCTATCACCACTAACTACCACATATAAAACTAAACACCAGACCAATATGAGAACTGGACCATAAAATGCATCAGTATCGGCTGGCCAGACAGTGGGTGGGTGGAGAGAGAGAGAGAGTTAACAATACCTTAGGGTTAGTTAGCGGGCGACATCCGGGCTGGCCTCCTCACTCTTAGTTACCTGAAAAAACACAAGTTAATTAATTAGACTCTCAACACCTGTGAGTAAAATAAAGGTTAATTAATTATACCCTCAACACTCCAGAGTAAAATAAAAGAATTAATTATACCCTCAACACCTGTGAGTAAAATAAAGGTTAATTAATTATACCCTCAACACCTGTGAGTAAAATAAAGGTTAATTAATTATACCCTCAACACCTGTGAGTAAAATAAAGGTTAATTAATTATACCCTCAACACCTGTGAACACCTTATGACGTGTAAGAACAAAGAGGAGTAATTTACATAAGGAAAAGTAACCTATCTGACCATAACACAGCCACCTTACCAAACACACACACACAAACACCTCTACCACACACACACAAACAAACACCTCTACCACACACAAACAAACAAACAAACACTCTACCACACACAAACAAACAAACAACCCTACCACACAAAACAAACAAACAACCTCTACCCCAACCAAACAAACAAACAAATACCCTACCACACACAAACAAACACTCGTACCATCAAAACAAACACCTCTACCACACAAACAAACAAACAACCTCTACCACACACAAACAAACAAACAACCTCTACCACACACAAACAAACAAACAAATACCTCTACCACACACAAACAAACACTCGTACCACATCAAACAAACACCCTACCACACACAAACAAACACCCTACCACACACAAATAAAACACCCTACCTCATCAAACAAACACCTCACCACACACAAACAAACAAACAAATACCTCTACCACACACAAATAAACACCTGTACTATCAAACAAACACCCTACCACACACAAACAAACACCTGTACCTCATCAAAACAAACACTCTACCACACACACAAACAAACAATTCTCTACCACCCACAAAAACACTTACCAAAACAAACAAACACCTCTACCACACAAACAAACACCTGTACCTCATCAAAACAAACACTCTACCACACACAAACAAACAAATACTACACAAACAAACACCCGTACCACATCAAAACAAAACACCTCTACCACACAAACAAACACCTCTACACAAACAAACACCCGTACCACATCAAAACAAACACTTACTAACACAAAAAAAAACTTACCACACACAAAACAACACTCTACCACACACAAACAACACCTCTACCACCCACAAACAAACACTTACCACCCACAAACAACACCCGTACATAACAAAACAAACACCTCTACCACGCACAAACAAACAACCCGTATACATCAAACAAACAACTCTACCACACACAAACAAACACCCGTACCACAACAAAACAAACACCTCTACCACACAAACAAACAAAACAAACAAGCCCACTTTATACACAAGGCGGGGCATAAGCCGGGAAATATAAAACTGATACTTACACATATATATTTTTTAAGTGAGTTCATGGTGTCTGGTTGAGGTCACCCCATGTATAGTGCAGTGTAGTAGTGGTGTAGTGCAGTGTAGTAGTGGTGTAGTGCAGTGTAGTAGTGGTGTAGTGTAGTGTAGTAGTGGTGTAGTGCAGTGTAGTAGTGGTGTAGGCAGTGTAGTAGTGGTGTAGTGTGTAGTAGTAGTGGTGTAGTGTAGTGTAGTAGTGGTGGAGTGTAGTAGTGGTGTAGTGTGCAGTGTAGTAGTGGTGTAGTATAGTGTGATAGTGGTGTAGTGCAGTGTAGTAGTGGTGTGCAGTGTAGTAGTGGTGTAGTGTGCAGTGTAGTAGTGGTGTAGTGCAGTGTAGTAGTGGTGTAGTATAGTGTAGTAGTGTAGTGTGATAGTGGTGTAGTGTAGTGTGATAGTGGTGGTGTAGGTTAGGTTTCGTTACTAAAGGGGGCAAAGGAAAGGGGAGGAAGAAAGGGGATAAATAGGAGGTGAGGAGAGGGGGCGAGGAGAGATGACAAAAGGAAACCGACAAAAAGGCCAAAGAGAAGAATGTTTTTGGAGGTAAGAAGAGAGGGAGAAGGTGTGGAGGGGAGGGGGAGGGTGGGAGAGAGAGGAGGGGAGAGGGTGGAGAGAGAGGGGAGGGGTGGAGATGGGGAGGGGGGAGAGGGGGAGGAGAGAGAGGGGTGGAGAGAGAGTGGGGAGGAGAGAGGGGAGAGGGAGAGAGAGGGGTGGGAGAGAGAGGGGTGGGAGAGAGGAGAGGGGTGGAGAGAGAGGGGGGGAGAGAGGAGGGGAGGGGGTGGAGAGAGAGGGAGGGAGAGAGAGGGGAGAGGGAGAGAGAACGAGGGCTGGGGCGGAGGTGACAAAAGAGTAAAGTGGGAAAAAAAACATTAAGAATTTCAGCCTCGTGGGAAGAGAAGAGAAGAAATATGAACGGAGAGAAGGAGTAAAAATAGAGAAGGGAAAACAGAGAGAAGAGAAGAAAGAGAGGAAGAGGAGGAGAAAGAGAGGAAGAAGAGAAGAGAAAAATAGGAGGAAGGGCGACCCATGCCTTGACCCCGACAGAGAGAAACCCGAGGCTTGGCCCGTGGGGGGAAGAGGGAGAGGAAGGGGGGAAAATGAACCCCCTCCTGACACCGTGACCTCACCCCCCCCCCTCCCGTCAACTTCCCATCGCCATTATTTCCATTGTTTATCTCTTTGTGGTGCAGCACGTTCTATCAATTCACAAATAGCGCCAAAAACACGAGACACACAAACAGGTACAATAAAGGTACAGTTACAGGTAAACGTACAGGTAGCTTATTAGTATACAGGTCAAACTAATTTGTACATGAAGGTCAAATTCCTACAATAAACTTTCTTTCTTATTATTATTATTATTATTATTAGTAGTAGTAGTAGTGGTAGTAGTAATATGGTATTATTGTTGTTCTTACAATGACATCAAAGAAACTACAGTAACACCCAGGAAATATCGTAGACCTATATAATTGAAGCGAGGCAGCCAAGTAAAAACTAATAATAATAATAATAATAATAATAATAATAATAATAATAATAATAACAATAATAAGATAGTAATGATAACATAATAATAATGTAAACAACGATAAACAGATCATGTGTACAAGTGACGCTGGACAGGAATGTAAACATTACCGACTGTCACCACACAAGTTTTTCTTCACATAAATAAAGCAACACAAATGTTCTCACTAAACCTGTTCAACTCTCAGGGAGAAAAAAAACCCTGTGAATGTTAATATATGTTTAGGTTTATTAAAAGCAATAAAGGTACTAATGTGGCGGCGATGTGGAGGTGTTCCAGCAATGTCAACAAGTGATGATGTTTACGGCACGCTGATTGGCTCTCCTGCTGCGACCTTGACCTTGCTACAATCTTTACCAAAATGTTATCACAATACCCCAGGCTGTTACCCAACTAATGTGCCAAGTTTCACAGTAATCGGTGCATGGGTTTGTGAGGTACAACAGTTGCAGGTGGTGGTGGTAGTGGGGGTGGTGGTGGTAGTGAGGGTGGTGGTGGTAGTAGGGGTTGAGGTAGTGGGGATGGTGGTAGAAGGGGTTCTGGTGGTGGCGGTGGTGGTAATAGTAGGGGTGGCGGTGGTGGGGATGGTGGTAGTAGGGGTTCTGGTGGTGGCGGTGGTGGTAATAGTAGGGGTGGCGGTGGTGGGGATGGTGGTAGTAGGGGTTCTGGTGGTGGTGGTGGTGGGAGGGCCACTTGGGCAGGAGGGAGGGGCAGTCATGGGCCAGTTTTTGCTGTCTTGTCAACGTGGACGTGAATGTTGTGGGCAGCGGAGGGAACAAGATTCCTCCCTCCCCCCTCTCCGCCCCTCCATCCCCATCTTTCTTGCTTCCTTCCTTCAGCCCCTCCATCCCCATCTTGTTCCCCCCTCCCTCAGCCCCTCCACACTACCATACTAAACTCCAGGTAAACACAACTACTAACTGTTCCTCGACACACACATATACAGTATATCAGGACCAACAGTGACAAATATATTAATGGCTATACGTACTACATTAGGTATACCAGTAAACTGTGTTTAGTATTCTTGTCACCATAACACGCTATACTATTTATAGAGTGGAGGTCAGTTAGGCGTGGCGCACACACACACACACAAACACACACACACACAAACACACACACACACGGTTGAAGGAGGACGGAAGAGGAGTTTTCCGGTCATCTTCCATGAAAGTGACACATTTCCGCCCCGCCTTCCCCACTCTGTAACATAAGGGGCCGCCCACACACCCCTGACTGCCCACACTTTCTCACAGGAAGGCACAAAGATTCGGTCTTGTGTTTATAACTCCTGTTAAACGTAATTGCAATACAATTAGTCACACCAACCGCCCTCTTTCCAGACTGACCACCAGTAAACTAGCCCCCGCGCGGGGGCAATCGGATAAACACCTGCTGTGTCATCTAGCTCCCAGTGCCATGACACTAAAACTTCGCCCACAATATTGTGTGACCATTCACAATGCAGAAAGGAGGTCAATAAGCTTTGACTGGGTATTGGAATGGTTCTGAAGATTGCCAGTTGACTTTTTCTGAGAACTTTAGTTAGTTGAAGTTGAGTGAGTGTGTTGTGTACTGTAGGGTGAGGACAAAACTGGCGCCGTGAGTGCCGGCCGGGAAGGTGACGGCGCTGTAAGTCAACAAGACGGTCATTTCATAAACAAGTCTTAATAACCAGCCGGAGTTGACCCACAAGTGATGGACAAGTGATCTCTTATTCCTCGTGACGACACAACAGTGAGGGAGGTTTGTAATGATCGATCATACACTTCAATCGTTAAAATAATCAAGTTCAGCAGGTAATAATGAATCATAACTCACACCCTCACAATAAGTAATCATATAACATATAAATCTGTTAAAAATAAGTCATATAAACATAACCCCGTTACAACCAACGCCTCCTCCCCCATCACCATCGTCCCCTCTACCATCACCACCTCTTCCCCCTGTGTGTGTGTGTGTGTGTGTTGTGTGAGTGTGTGTGTGCGTGTGTGTGTGTGTGTGTGTGCGTGTGTGTCAATCAGCTTTTGTGTCTCTCTCAGTCTGGGTGTCTCTG